ACATTACATTATATACTATCATAATATAGCAGAATGTAATAGAGTATAATGGAATGGATTAGAAAGTAACAGATTATACTAGAACGTAAAAATATGACAGAATATAACAGAATGTAACAATCTAATAAATATAACAGAATGATAGAACATAATAGAATATGATTGATAGAATTTAACAGAAATTAATAGAATGTAACAATATAACAGAAAATAACAAGATATGATACCACATAATAGCCTGTAATAGAATTTAACAAATATAGCATGTGGACTGTAACAGAATTTAATAGCATAGAATAGAGTGTAACAGAATTTAACAGAAGGTAACAGAATGTACCAGAATTTGACAGCATGTAATAGACTTTAACAGAATATAACAGAATATGATAGAATATAATGTAACAGAATATAATAAATATAACAATGATAGACTGTAACAGAATATAGAAAGTAATAGGATGTAACAGAATATAACAGAATATGATAGCATAGAATAGACTGTAATAGAATGTAACAGAATGTAATAGTCTGTTATGTTTTATTGTATCATATTCTGTTATATTCAGTTACATTCTATTATATCATGCTATTATAGTCTGTTAGAATATAACAGAATGTAACAATACTATAGAATGATAGAATGTAATAGAATGTAACAGAATATTATGATATATAATGTAATATAATGATATAGGATATGATGCTATGATATTATAGACCAGAATATTATATTATGAAATGATACAATATAATATAACAATATAATATGTAATACACAATATGGTATGATATGAATATTATATCATAGTCTATTATTTTTTGTTATATTCTAGCCTATTCTAATTATATATCATAGCATATGATGTTATATTCTACTACATTCTGTTGTATTCTATCATATTACATAATCTCATTATGTTATAACTTATCATATGATGTCATATCATGTATTTTATTATATCTTACTATATATATTATCATATGAGTGGTTGTGATAAGAACAAATGTTGCAGGAGAGCTTTTCCTTTCCTGAGCACCAGGGTTAAATGACTTGAGTGTAGAGAACCAGCCCAGGCCAGAGGATGGTTGTATCTAAGACGGGAAGAACACAAACTTGCATCCACAACTACATGATGCTGATGTATCTATGATGACAACATAGTCCATGTGTAGAGTGTGGAGGGATTTCTGCTCTCCTCCTCAGGTGATCATGCCTGGCTACTGCGTGCAGGGAACTGTAGGCCACAAGATCCTGAGTGGGCAGCGCAAGCTGGAGATGGAAGGAAGGCAAATAGTAAGTTTGATTTTCAAGGAGGATCATTTGGGGGAAGTTCTTCAGAACTTTAGGTGGCAGTTAAACACCACATGCATGTAATGGGAATATGCCACATACAACACTGAAAACACCCAAGGGACATTTTCTTTGGTGTTGGGTTTTCCCCTTTGCATTGGCAACAGTGTCTTTTTCCACCATAAGGTTTTGTCAGGGCATATTTACAAGGATTAATATTTAGGCCTCATTAGTCACGTTAAAATGATGCACTTTTAGGCAGATGGTGCTATGAAACTGGTACCAACTGTCCTTAAGTATTGATCTGTTTTGGCAAATGTGCAACAATTTCTGTGCTCTGAAATTGGGTACTTTGAGCCCTTCAGTTATTAAAAGCTTTTCTGTGCAGCATCACATTCAGTGTCTGCTGACAAGCACCTCTGACTCCAGCCTCATTCCATTGGGAAATGAGGTTCATTTCCAATTCATTGGGAAATTCACTTCTGTTTCCTTCTTTAAACTAAATCCAGTAGGAGCTGGGGTCTGGCTGGGTGTGGTACAGGCACTGTGGTGAGCCAGAGCAGTTCCAGATGCACAGAGATGCTTTCTGCTCCTCCACAGCTGGAAGTGAAGATGCAGGTGGAGTACATGTCCTTCAGTGCACACGCCGATGCCAAGGGGATCATGCAGCTGATTCGCCAGGCTGAGCCTCGGAATGTTCTCCTGGTCCACGGGGAAGCAAAGAAGATGGAGTTTCTGAAGCAGAAAATAGAACAGGAATTTCGTGCGTATGGTGGTGTACTGAAGTGCAGTGGTGGAGAGAGCAGGCTTTGAAGTTCACGTGTTTTATAAAATCCCAGCCTGGTTTGGGTTAAAGGGAGCTTAAAGCTCCTCCAGCTCCAACCCCTGCCACAGGCAGGGACACCTTCCACTAGAGCAGGTTGCTCCAAGCCCCCGTGTCCAACCTGGCCTTGAATTCAATCCATGGGACCCCTGCACAGATGAGGCATAATGTAATTTAGAGGACCAGTCACCCCCCAAAACTAGCATCCATAACATCTCTTATTTAATAGGTAAACCCCTTGAATTCTAATGCCCATTTGGACTTGAAGTGTAAGCTGTTTGGTTATGTTTGTGTTGTTGTAGCTCAGCACTTACTGAATTTATATTAGAATCATAAAACCATAGCAGCTCGTAATCACATTAGAAGCTGAGGCAGGGTACATCTGAAACTGTGCTTTAGCAACTTCAGTTAAGGGGAATGAGCTCCAGGAAAAGAAATAATTCCTTGAAAACAGCTGACCCTTAACAGATGAGTAGAGGAATCCCAGAATTCACACTGGCTGCTTACTTACTGTCTGCAGGTATCTTTGCAGCATTCTGTCAGCATCGGAGGGCAGGCAGTTCTGTTGCAGTCTGTTCTGTTAAGGCTAGCCAGGCTCACTGGGGCTCTGATGAGGTGTCTGAGCAGCAGTTCTGCTTTCCAGCCTCTTGCCAACACCTGCAATATTCTTCTGCCAACCTCTCAGCCTCATCTGCTCGGGGATCCCTGCAGTCTGCTCAGGGGTGAAGTGCTGGTCCGGGCTTGGAAACGCTGCAGCAGCCACCATCCTTCTGACACTGGTCCTTCACATTGCAGATGTCAGCTGCTACATGCCTGCCAACGGAGAGACCACGACGATATTTACCAATCCCAGCATTCCTGTGGATATATCCCTGGGCCTCCTGAAGAGAGAAACAGCAATAGGTGACACTTTCAACCAAGAACTCCATCTGCTGGGCCCTGCCGCTGTGTTGTGTTGCACTTACGTTAGGTGGAAACAGCTGGTTGTAGCAGTGGTGACTTAGAGCAGAGCTTCCTGTACAAGAACAGGTTTTATCAGCATTTAGAGGTTGGGAGGGCTTCCTGTGACATGCAGCAGCTGCCGTGCTGTGAATGTGTCATCAATAACCGTGTAATAGCAAACACACGCTGCCTTGTTTGCTACTCGCTGCCCTCTGCTATGAAACAAACCCCATGTAAGCTTTTGCTAGCTAGGTCTGAAAACTGGAAGTGCTTTTATAAACCAAATTGAAGAAGAATCTGAAAATCAGAGGTGAATGAGTCAGAAGAATCTCTCAAATCGGGAGGTGATGGGGGAAGAGAAGCAGTTGTTATGTATCTATCACTAAGCACGGCTGCTTCTGTGTCTAGATGCTTATGATGATGGTTTAAGCACCATGCACTTTAACAGGAGAACAACTATGTAAGATACTTGTCTCTGAACCTCAGCAAGACTCAGAAATACAAATTATTAAGTCCTATAGCAGTTGCCTGTGTGAAAAGTAAGTACTTCATCATTAACCATGGTCTCTCTCTCCCTTTAGGTCTCTTACCAGATGTCAAGAAGCCAAAGCTCATGCATGGCACGTTAATGATGAAGGATAACGTAAGTAAAATAATTCTGACATTCATTTTGGGAACTAAAGACTTGAAATAGTAATTTAGGTGGACGTTCTGCCACCATCTTACCTTTGCAGCCTCGCCGTTACCGCTTGCCTGAGACGTGCTGAGACAGAGGTTGAAAGGGAGCGATCTTACCTGCTGGGTTCCCGGTGGTGGACACGTACCAGTGTGCCACAGGGGAGGAACAGAGCTTCACAAACACCTCGTAACGGGTCTGTGCTTTCCCTCTGCAGAGCTTCCGCCTGCTTTCCCCCGAGCAGGCTCTGAAGGAGCTGGGCCTGGCAGAACATCAGCTGCGTTTCACCTGCCGCGTCCACATCCAGGACCCGCGGAAGGAGCACGAGACGGTGCTTCGTGTGTACAACCACCTCAAAGGGTGAGGCCACAGCCCCAGCTGTGCTTGTTCCCCCCCCCCGGGGTGGACTTGTACCACCTCTATTAAGAAAGATAAGCTCAAGTGTCCCCTCCTTTCCGGCCTCCCAGACCAGCCCCCGAGTTACTAGGAGAAAATTCTCTGCAGCCCAGAAGACAAGTGCTGTAGATTTTAGTTTATGTAGCTCATAGAGCTGCAGTAGCAGAGGCTGGTCATCAACCTACCAGCTCCTGGTCTTTACCAAGCTAGGCAGAACACCCCAAATCTTTGTTCCTGTTGGCTTGCTGCTCTCATTGCTGATTCTAGCTAAAGTGTTTGGAGCAAGACCATCAAGTGTAGGGGCAAAACACCTCTTAAGCTGTTCAGTAGCTAGCAGCACGTGAACCTTAAATGCTTCCTACAGAGGCAGCTGGTGAATAGTGAGTAGTCCTTTGCTTGGATGAACAGAGTTCAGCCTGGAGCTATGGACATCATGAAAGCCAGAAGTAAGTCCTGTAGGAAATGCTACATAGAATCATAGAATAGTTAGGGTTGGAAAGGACCTTAAGATCATCTAGTTCCAACCCATGGGCAGGGACACCTCACACTAAACTATACATGATTAATATAAGCACCAAAATAAGCAAGTTATGAATCAGCCCCATTCTCCACTGTGAACACATTGGTGGTGGGGATTCAGAGGTACAGGGAAGAGCACCCTTCAACCTGTGTGCATGTCCCATCCAAACTAAATCCTGTATCTTCTCTCTTACCAGTGTCCTGAAAGATTATTCAGTGCAGCATCTCCCTGATGGGTCTATAACAGTGGAGTCCATTCTTATCCAAGCCACGGCACACTCGGAGGATCAAGGAACCAAAGTTCTGCTTGTATCCTGGACCTACCAGGTAGGAATTCTTCAAGCTGTACTTACCAATTTAATTACAAAGTTAATTAAAGTTATATCTGTGTTTTGAGGACATTACAGTACCCAGCTTCTATTCTCAGCTGTAGCACTACTGCCATAAAGAGTTTGGAGGTATCTGTATTTCTTAGGTGTGAAACTAAACAACAAGCAGAAAGCAGGATAACACAGACTAGTGCTGAGATCAGACAGTCTGATCTTTCTTCCTTTCCAAAGTGTACTTCCCTGGCTGCAGTTTTAAATACTTTTACAGCAGGGAACTGCCTTCTTGAGGGCAAAGAAGGAAAAATCAATGGTTCTATATTCTTTTTCAAGACAACAGGTCGTTTTCCTCAAAAGAGATACCTCAAGTCCAGACACGTACTTAAACAAATGGAGTTTTACATTGATACTATGAGAGAATACCCAGGAATACATCTGTGCTGACTGCACTGCCTCCATTTTTAAACACTGCTTACATTAGAGTTACTTCAGTCTATTTCTAGGTACCAGAGTTGAATTTACTGCCCACATGGCAAAGTCAAGCAGATGATTGCTTTCATCCCGTTTCTGTCTGTTGTCTCTAGGATGAGGAGCTGGGCAGCTATCTCACTTCCCTTCTGAAGAAAGGACTCCCCCAGAGCACAGCGTGAGCCCCCCCCAGAGCCCCACTCTCAGGGGTGCTTCAGAGAGAGACAGATTTATTTTGGTTACACTGTCACTGCTTTTAAATAGTTCTGTTTTAATAAAGGAATTACAGTGTTTGTCCAATGGCTGCAGTGCCTGTGTACACCCTTCCAACAGCACCACGCTGGACACCTGGCCAGGGGGTCACTACAGCCTTAGAGTCATGAGGACAACTTTTGTGCTGCTCAAGCTGTAGGAGATGCTCATCAACCTCCCCTCAGCTCATTTCCCTTAAACCCTCAGCAGTGCCCAGTGAAACAAGGAGTTTCCAAAGCATCACAACTAAAATACAAACTATAATAGAGGCAAGAGTACAACCCCCTGAACGTGCTCTTCCCCCAGCAGCGTAATGTTTCCTTCTCCATACTTCCCTCCTGGCAGCTGCCAGCCTGCAGGAAAGCTGCACTCCCGGATGGAGGCTCAGAATTAGTTTTTGCCTTTGTGCAGAACATAAAGATTGTGCTTAATGAGAAGGAACAGTCCCTCCAGTGGTGGGAGGTTTTCCCACAGCCTGTAAATGAGACAAAAAGAGCAGTCTCATGAAAGGGAAAAGATTAGTTTGTTCTAATACTCCCACGGAGGCTTTCCTCAGCTCCAAGTGCCAGGATTTGCACTTGTCTTACCAAGCCCATCAAGCACAGGAACGCAGGAATACTCATTTTCAGCATCTTTTAGAAGAGTTTGAGCAGGTTTTCTACTGATACTTAATAATTCCTCCAAGCTAAAAGCAGAATGCAGGAAGGGGGAGGTCAGTCACTGACCCATCATTACAACACGGATCCACTCTGTGGGATTCAAAGTGCAGGTAGCAATAACTAATGCAAGTCAGGCCCATCCCAACAAGTAAAACACTGCACCCACAAAAGCCATTTGTTACAAAGCTTTAGCTCTGTTACAGTGATTTCAGATCCGCTCTTGGTTTGCTTGCTGCATCCATCTACTGCTGAAGTGGTTCAGTGATCAGCTTTAGCTGATCAATATAGCCTCCAAATGCAAGACTCCTGCTTCCCACCATTGTGCATGGGTGGTTTCCCACCAACCAAGGCCCCAACACACCCCTACACCCATGCTGCTTATTTTCCAACCCTCTTACCTCTGTCCTTAACCAGAGTAGCAGCTGCCATCAGAGGATTGGCTGAGCATGGGCAGAAGCTGCAGCATCCATTGTGCAAAGAGAAGTTCCAACATCGTACAGAGACACACAACATTGATCCCCTCACCCCATTCTGCCCCATGATCCTGCTCCCTCCCTCCTTCCTTTTAAGGCCCATGGCAGTTCCAATAACACAGCTTAACCCCAAAACCCCAGCCCCTGCTGCAGTGCTGCCAGGTCCAAGTGTCACTTTCAACCTGCAATTTGCACGTTTGGAAATGGAATCAGGGATTCAGCACGTTGCCAGAGCCAGGCCCTCCTCCTGCCCTGGTCCACAAGCCCCAGAACACCTTCCCTTTTGCACTCCTGCTCAGCAGTTGTACATACACACACTTCACAGAGTTTGGGGGTGACGTGGGAAGGAACAGAATAGCCAGTCTCTATCTGCTACCACATCACATCATCTTCAGTATCTTGTTGGCTTTTAAGCAGTTTATCAGCCCCAGGTCAGTGGTCTCGTGATGACTCTGAAACCCCCAGATGATAAATCCCCTCCACAGTCTCACAGGGTGGAAAATGCAGTTCTCAGAAGCTGTGTGGTGCTGTTAATAGAAGGGGTGAGATAGGTTAGAGACTGTGTTTATAATCACAAACTGTGATGTTTGAACAGGACTGCACTGTGTGAGGAGCTGTGCTGGCTCCTGCGGGGCCTTCCCTTGATGACCACATGGCCAGAGCAGCCTGTTCACCGCTGGTCCTGCACAGGGTTAACTGACTGATCAATACTTGGATCTACTAAACCTGTGTTAGCAGATGTCCAGCTTGAATCCAGTGGTGCACAACACTGGAAACCCTGTACTCCTTGGGAAGGAGGGATGAGAAGCCCTTATTTGGCTGTGGAATGTAGGCAGAAAGCAGTTTGTGAACCCAGCTGGCTCTGGTGTGCCCCCGGGGAGTGAAGATCCCTCCACAATGGGGAAAACCAAGCAGGACAGCCCTATCCACCCCAGCAGGAGGCTGGTTTCCTTCACATAACCCTTTCCTAGGCTGTATGGCTTTCCAGAAGAGCCCTGCGCTCTCCTATTAACCCAGTGTTAAACAAAAAGGAGACCAAAACATCAGTGTACATGAACACAGTGCTTGCTAGCCAGGACTGCAGAAACACAGCTCCCAGGTAGCCTCCTGGTTGGCTAATACACATATTAAGCTGTTAGGCACCTCCCTCCAGTGTGGCCTTGATGTAACAGTCACTGTATGAAGAAAGGGTAGGTTTACAGCTTTGGTTTTGAAGGGACAGCTGGAGAGATGAATACTGTACTTACTTTAAGTAGCTCAGTTGATTCCATCTCTATTTTCCCTCTCCACGTCTCTGGTGCAGTTTATAAACGTAGGAGCACTCCCCAAGTTTCTGGTCGCAGATGGTGTACACCACTTGAGACCTGGATCTGAGCTTGAAGTTGAAGTGCCACTGCCTGCTGGAGGAGTTGAAGTAGTACAGGAGTGGGTTAAGGCAGCAGTTGAAGCTCACCAGGGCCAGGGTGACCTTCCGCATCTTGTAGATCAAGCTGGCGAACGCCTTGTTCTGGATGACCTGGATTCTCATCAAGAAGTGGAGCAGGTGAGTGAGGTGATAGGGGAGAAAGCACAAAGTACAAATGACCAGGATGATGTAGATGGTGCTCAGGGCCTTCCTCTTGTGAATGCTGCTTTTGATGCGGGAGATCCTCTTGGCAATGAGAGGGTAGCTGATGAGAATGATGGAAAAGGGGATCACAAACCCAAAAACCAAGGCCAGGACGTTGTAAGTTGTCATGCGGGAAGTCCAGCTACTCGTGGCAAAGTTCTCAAAACACGCTACTGTGTTCCCCACGCCCCTGTTGTGGAGGGGACCTCCGAGGATGAGCGGAACCATGATGCTCAGAGCGACCACCCAAAGCACTGTGACCACCACCACGTAATGGATGACCTTGATCTGGATGTAGGTGAAGGGGTGCAACACCGCGATGTAGCGGTCCACACAGATGCAGGTGAAAAAGGCGATGCTGAGGCAGATGTTGATGTAGTACAGAGTCCCAGTTACCCTACAGGCTATGTCCCCAAAGATCCAGTTGTTCCTATTCAGGTGGTAGTGAATTTTGAATGGCAACACACACACGAACAAGGTGTCCACCAGAACTAGATTAATCATGTACACATAGGAATGAGAGGTGTGCTTTACCCTGCAGGACAGCAGGTACAGGGCCAACACGTTCTCTACCAGCCCCAGCACAAAGACGAAGCTGTAGATGACAGTAAACAAGGAATACTGGAAATCTGCTTCCAAATGGAATTCTGCACTGGAATTGGCAGCTGTCTCATTGGAGACTCCTTCAGTCCAGGAAACGTCTGCCATGATTTCTGCTGGAGGGACACCTACCATGGGGTACGAGTCTTAATCCACCCCTTACCTCAGGAGGTTCTTGTGTCCGATTTCATCTTGAGTGGGTAAGAGCTGAAGCCTCTCGACAGTGAAGCCTGGTGCAGTCTGTGCTCAGCGGTGATGCTGGAAGGGAGAATAAATCATTTAAAACACAAGCAGCTGAAGTATTTACTGGCATTAAAATCATCACAAGGTGGCAATACTGAAATACCAGAGGTAGCAATGCTGAACTGTTTTACCTTGTGCTGCAGTTTTATAAAGAGCATGTGTGGAACCTTCCTGCTAAGGAACAGTATTTAAAACACAGAAGAGAAACAGGTAGTTGGTGCAGTGTAAAGGACTAGTTGGTGTGTCTGAAATACAGGAAAGAGCTGCTGTATGAGCAGACTCCTCACCCAGGTCACTCACATCACATAAGCAATAAGCTGCTCCAGCAGCGCAGTTTCTCTCCATCAAAGTCATGTCAGTAACTGAGCCAGACACAGACACCTGAACAGAGGCCCCTAAAGGCCTTGGAAAATTAAACCCAGCTACAATACACACAACGTTCCTAAACTGAGCCACGGACAGCACAAACCCACAAAGGTTACTGGGTGCTTTCCAAAGGAAACTCTGAATTCACACTTCCTCCCAAGAGTTATTTATCTGGTGAAGTCAAAAGCACCCAAAATATCTGGAAGATCAGAAAGGGAAAAAATAAGGTTTCACTTTAAGTAGGCAACTATATGTATGTGCTTACATGTGTCTTGCACCTAATAGCAAAGCGGTTGTACACACAGGAAAATTAACACAAACCCAGGCACAGGTAAGGTGTAACATAAGCAGCACAGGACGTGAAACAACCTTTATCTCTAGGTTTTGCCAGAGCAAGAGCTACTGAACATCCATCTTATCTAGGGCCAAAGTAAATCCTTGCAACTGGGGAAAGAGATAGAACCATTAACAGGGCAGGACAGGCCAGGGGATGGGTTGGCTGCTGCTCCCCACAAGACAAGCACAAGTCAGTTAAAACTAAGTCACTCTTCTACCTTGTTCCAGTCCCATAGACACTGCAGGACCCCACCATGCACATCCATCTGTTTGAGAACACTTTCACTCTCTCTGAGAGACAACAGAAGTGACAGAGTCTACAATAAGCACGTATTTTCCAAGTACACGGCCACTTCCACCTCTTATTAGTAACATACACTCCACTCACCATGTTAAAACCTACTCTGATCCGTCCCAAATCCAGCTCTGCCTCCCCAGAGTTGTTTGGGTGGGTTTTGTCTGGTTTTTTTGGGGCAAGGAGGGCTGTTATTTCTTCCAGACAACCAAAAGGCATCGCTGACCTGTTTCTGCACAAAGTTATTTGATTTACAAAACCACACAAAAGCCTACATCAAAGTTTCCACTGGATTCTGAGTGCATTAAATTATTAGACACGTTTGCATAGAAAACCCAAGCTTGAGTCTTTGAACTCTGCTCAAGTGTGAGGTTTTTCTGGGTTTAATTTTAAAGCATCACTGTCAAACAATCAGACAAAGAGATCTGCCCCTGGACTGGATGTCCAAATTGAATCAACTGAATAGAATTAGTAATACAATACAAAAAGAAGAATGCTAAATTCCCCTCAGTAACAAGTCACAAGTATTAATGGTGGACATGACAAAAATGACTGAGTTTGTACAGAAGTTCCCCACTGCTGGTACATTCTGTGATGCTAAGAGAGCATGTTCTTTAATTAAACATCTTCAGGTTATTTTTAACAGTTGCTCTGGGATTTAACAAGCAAAGCAAGAGCTGACAACAGCACTGTGCTAACTGCAGAGTCAGCCAGTCTGCGTCTAGGCCACTGCCTGCACAGCTGAACCTGCTGCTCACTCGCTGGATTTGGTAACAGGTTTTTATTGCCACCAAAAGCTGGGACACATTTCCAGACATATCCCATAGCAGGGATTTTTGCACCATGACTATCACAGAGAGTCATATCTGAGCCCGCAGCAGCAGTTGGCTTGATTAACACCCAGACAGCAGGAGGATTTGGTTTTCTGCCCTATGATTAGTTTAGTCAGAAAGTTGACTTACCAGAGCTCAGATCGTCTTCTCTCACACCAAAGCTGCAGATGAGCACACTGGGCTCTCCAAAGAGTCCTCACAACTACAGGGTTGCTGCTAAGCTCTTCTGAAGAGAGTTGTAACACCAGAGCACGCTGCCCTGCAAGATGCACCGCAGAGCTCTGCTACGTTGCTCTAGAGAAAGAAACCACAGGAAGCAAAGATGAAGAGCTGTCACTCAGACCCAAGGCAGAGCACTTGCCATGCTAGTGAAGTGTCATCCCCACAGACCAGGAGGGCACACAGCCCATGGCCAGCACCAGTGTGGGCTTTAGATCTCTTCATATAGCCATCCAAAGCCCCCCCATCAGCTCCCACCCACCCTGCCCTCCAGCCTCTGTGGAACCAAGCACTAGTGCTTACAGACATCTGAAATGGGCCTGGAGCTGCGCTCTCACTTCCCTCCAAAGGGAGGTAGAGCAAGACTTTGCTGTCATTCCCTTTCAGGCAAACTGCTGTCTAAAACCACACAAGTACATTATGTTTTGAAGCTGGGCTTATGTTGGAAAATCACTGCAGTGTATTACAGCATCCCCACTTTTGGGTACTTACCCAGCAAGGCTGGACCAGAAAAGTACAAACAGGTATCACTCCAGCAACAGAGCAGCCTCAACCCTCCTCTTCCATGGTAGAGACCCAGGACTCCTCCACGGTTCTGTTGTCGTCTTTGAGAGTTAGTCCCTAAGGGAGTAAAGCAGCTACCAGTTGGCATCCCCTCTGGGAAGGGAGGGTAACTGGAGGTATCCTGCCTTGCCTTCCCATGCTGTCAAAAGCATGTCTTTGGCAAAACTGCTACCTGGAACAGAGTGGAAAGAGCTGCATCACTTCTCACGAAGGGAAACCCAGAACAGGCTGTCCTTGTGTTCTGTATCAGGACCAGTACCTCTATCCCCACTGCCAAAAGCAAGGGTGGCTTTAAGAGGGTTCAAAAAGAACCACTGCCTCCCACTTTGCTTACCTTGTGGCTCTCCACCATGCAGAGACTCAAAACTCCAAAGTCCTCAAGTGTGTTGCCTGCTCTGCAATTCTTCTCACAGACAAAGGGGAGGCCAGTTATGGTGGTACCAGGCACCTCAGCTGCACATTGTTTCCACTGCAGAGGGCTTAAACCAGGTATTGTTTCTTCTGTGAGTTTCTAAAGTCAAAACTATCATCATCTTTCCTGTAACTGGCACTTTAAAAACAATCATTTTATAACCAAAACAGATTTTTGTGTCATTTATGAGAAGAACAACCCACAAGTTACCCAATGTGTGTTCTATTGCTTGGGCCAGCAGGCAAGAGCTGAGGTTAGAGTGGTTTGGGGAGAAAAAGGAATAAAAATAATGAAATCTGTGCTCCCTGCTCCACACCATGATTCACCCACCTTTAAGTCACCAACCGTGGAAGAGCAGAAAGTGGACACAAACAAATTGGAGCCCAGCAATGGTGGCAGCCACTTTCTAGGTGCTGGTCCCAAACTGCCACATAGGTTTCATTTCATGGTCAGGCTCACAGAGTTGTTCCTGTGCTACTATAGCCCAGGCTGTGACCATTAAAACAGGTCTTAAGTGACCTCAAAGGAACTTGGGTCTGTAACACACCACATCCTCACTGCAACAGACATCCCTCTGTACCAGGACAATGTAAAAGCCACAACAGTTCAGCACAAGAGCGACTGCTGATGAGAAGAGGAAATGGCAAAGACTTTCAAAGGCTGTTTCTGTAAGTCACTGCATCAAACAGCAACAGTTGTCCCTTGCACTATGCTGTACAAAGGCAGGGTCACAGAGGAGAAGGCCTGAGAGGAAATGCTACATTCTCCTCTGTTCTAAGCCTGTATTCCTCTCACACATACCACAGAAGGGATACAAAAAGTAGACAAATCCACACACAAATAACCCCAAACCCCACTCCTTCCTCCTTCTGTTTGAGAGACATAGAATCAGAAGAGAGAGCAAAAAGGCAGTTATCTGAAAGCAGCATGGAGTTGTTCTTCCTTTCCCTTTGGCAGTCTCAGAGGGCAAGAACAAACGATAGGAAGATGCCCACAGTCACAGTCAATGGTTTTTATTGAGACAAGACTTTGTGCTGTGTAAAGAGCACTTGGCAAACCTCCATCCCACATCCTCAGCAGTCCTTTCTGTATCTCACAGAGCTGCTATTCTCCTGGGGCCACTGTAGTGTCCAAATCTGAGAGGAAGAAACAGAAAACACTGATTTAGGGAAAAGGATGGCACTGGAAGCACCTGAAAGCACTTCAAATCTGTGGCCTTCCCTTCCTGCCTGGGCACAGGCACAGAGAGCCACCAGATAAGCAACAGGATGATCTGCTTTCTGTCCTCCTGCCTCTACAATCCCCCCATACACACCAAGGGAGAAGGGAGGGAACAGAAATGGATCTGTAGGTGCCCAGATATCACAGAAGGTTTGGTCTTTACACATGGTCAGGGGCAGAACAATTTATGAGAATTTAAAGTATCATCCATGTGAGATCTCAAAGCAATTGTCAACACAACTGCTCTTTTACTACCCTGAAAGTAAGAGGGGAAAAAAACCTACACCATTTTTCCATAGCAGCTGTGCTGCACACCTCTGCAGTCCGGGTGCTCACTGCGATGTGGGTGTCAGTGAGCAACGCTGTGAGCCACAGGTCAGACGGCACCTAAAGGGAGCCTGTGGGTGTTGCAGTGTTAGAGCTGACTCCTACAGAAATCATGCCATTCCCTGCATCCACCTACCTGCTTCACTGTATTCCACGGATTTCAGGAAGAGGCCAGACGGCGGAGCCATGGCATTTGGTGGAAAAGCCCGTGAGTCTTTTAGCTCCAGTAACTCCTTTATACAATGAGGTGTTAACTTGCCCTGGCCGACTGCAACTAGAGCCCCAACCATCCTTCGGACCTGGAACAACAGAGAACACAGCTTAGGAGCTGCCCTTGGAGAACTGAAAGAGACTGGGGAGTTCTGTCCCTACCAGCAGTACTGTGCTGTTTAACAGCCCACAGCTACTACTGATGGCAAGTCAAGATAGAAACCTAATCAGAGTTCAGTGCCTGTCACACAGGAAAGACTGACAGCACCATGATTTATTAACATCAGTTTGCTCCTGAATACAGGTACATCATCAGTATTACACCCATAGTTCCCAGTTCTACTCTTCCTAGTACTGCCAGTTGTGCCCAGAGCCATGCACTTTGCTCCTAGTCCAGCTGGGTGTTAAGAAAGAACGAAGGATTTCCCAATATAATGTTTTGACCCTTGTTTTAGGTGTCATTATCCCAAGTCTCAGCCCAGGCTCATTCTCATCAGGGTTCAAACCAGCCCTGGCTGCCCCTTGTACGACTTTGGTATCACAGACCTTCAGGGAGCATCTCCAGTGCTCGCTTTGTTTCTTCAGGAAGATCTTAACAGTATCCCAGACTGGTTTGTGTTGGAAGGGACCTTGAAGCTCCTCCAGCTGCAACCCCTGCCACGGGCAGGGACACCTTCCACTAGAGCAGGTTGCTCCAAGGCCCTGTGTCCAACCTGGCCTTGAACAGTGCCAGGGATGGGGCAGCCACAGCTTCTCTGGGCACCCTGTGCCAGCGCCTCAGCACCCTCACAGGGAAGAGCTTCTGCCTAAGACCTAATGTAAAATCTCCCCTCTTTCTACTTTATCACACTCCTTAGTCCCTGAGCACACCCCAGCAGTCACAGTCACTCCACAGCCTGCAGAGGAAAGGTCTTCCTTCCCCTTTAAGCAGGAATTGTGTGGACTGCCTAGGGTCCATCACAAGGGGGTGATGTGCTAAGCCTGCCTGCAAGGAGCAGTGGCACAGCATCTTCTAGTGACCAAAGCTGGTGGTAGGGAAGGGACAACTAAAGACATTTGTAAGAATAAGATGAGGACCTGGCAACACAAAGGCCCCCAGCTACACAGCACTATCTTGGAGCAAGGCTTGTTCTCACCACACGTGGGAAGCTGAGCAGGGGATGGTTTCCATCTCAGAAACAACAGCAGCACCCACACATCCGTCTGTGGCAGGAAGCTCACATACATGCTGGGAGAGCTGAGCTCACAGGTTCTTAACACGTAAGCAACTATGTAGGGGCTCTTGCTTCTCTCTCAGAAAGTGCAAGAAGAGAGAAAAACCCAAACCCAAGGACAGCACCAGACAACACCCCCCAGTGCAGCAAACTGGTATTTCAAACACCTCTGCATGTCACAACTTCCCTCCCTCCACACGCAGCAATGCCAGACCCAGTGGGTTAGCACAAGCCTCACACCGTGGCCCTCACCCCCTGCATAAACATCCCTTGTATTTCAGCATCCCCCTGGCCAAAAACACCCTTCCCTCCGTCTCCACAAGACATGCTGTTCCAGGAGGGCTGAGACTTGTATCTGTTGGTGGTATCTGGCCAGGCAAGAGCTGAACCTCCTAGAACCTGCCAGCACTTTCCTTGGCTTTGCCTGTACCCATTTCCACAGGGGAGCTCACACTGCCCAAGGCAACATGCTTCGATTTGCTGGGACCAAGTGTCATTTGGCAGAGGAGCCACACTGAAACTCAGCCCTTGCTGGGGGCTGATCTCAAGCCACCCCAATTTCACCATCTCCTAGTCACTTTTCTCCACCCACACTGGAAGAACTGTTCTCCAGGCAAAGCATGACCTAGACTAGATGTCCCAGCACCCTGTCCAGTTGAATCCTAACAGCTGAAGCCACCACTTCGCTGGGTAGATTATTCCCAATGTTCTCTTTGTGAAAAGTTTTCCTCTTAAAGACCTTTCAAAGCACATCAAGCTCTCCAAAAACTTAATGTAGTGCTGTAATGAAGCACTGGTCTAAGTGTCTGATCCAGTAACATCTACAACAGAATAAACCAAAATCCTCTAAGCAACCTGACCATGAGAAAGGTCCAACAACCAAGATCTATTTATCCAAAGGCAAGCACTGTCTCTCCCTATATGCTCTGATCTTACACTGCACTGTGGAGTGCCAAGAGCTTGCCTTTAAGCAGATGGCACAGAAGCAGCACAGATCCTGGCCATATGTTATTTTATCCATCCCTCACTAGAGGTCATCATATGCTGTGACTTTAGCTTTGATGCCTCCACATTTGGAGCTAGCTAGCATAAACGCAGCCTAATGGTGTGCATCTGAAGTAGCCATGTGCTTGGTGTCTCCCCTTCTGCATGCTAGGCACCAAAAACATATACAGACAGTGGCTGGGGCTGTTTACTCCTGGTCTCTAACAGAAAAGCCCAGTGCCAACACTTGCAGCAGCTGTATGAAGTGGGACCAGGGGGCCATCTAGTCTAGTCTCCTCTTTCTGATGGAGGGCAGGAGCAGATGCTGAGGTAGGAGAGTGCAGGCTCAGTGCACACAGTCTGTTCCTCACCTGCCAGCTCACTGAACAAGGCTCAGAGCGGGCATGAGCTGAGTATTATGGGTAACTGTTCCCTCTGCACAGTGTCATTAAGTAGCATTTCCATTTCTAATGCACTAAATGGGTTACCAGCAGTTTCTCCTTGTCGCAAGAGCATCCGATGGAGCAAATCCCTGCTGTATATCAAGCCCTTCTCAAGCACGTTGTTGTTCTTCCCCTGCTCACAGCCAGACACCCACTGTCAGGCAGCTCACAGAGCATTACTTGGCACAGGATAAAACCAAATTTGGTTTGTCAAAACAGGATAAAAAATAGCTGCTTGCTGTTCCCACAAAACACCCCCTCTCTCCTTCAAAAAACAAGTCCTCTCTTGCCTATTCTCTGTCTCCAGAGTGTGACCATGGCCAGGATAGGCAGACTGAGAACAGCCAACTCTTTCCTAACGAGGTGATCCATTAAGTTGTGGAGAGCTGTCTCCCCTGAGGATAGCAGCAAAAACCCCACTGGAGCTATTTCAAAGAAAAGCCAGCAGAGACTAGACACCATGGCAGAGGGAAAGATCCTGCAGCCATGCCTGCGTAGCTGAATCAGGTCTTCCCATCTCTCCTTTGTGCAACACTGACAATTACTTCATGCTCCAAAGCCAGAAAGCAAAATTCCAGGCAGTCTTTGCTGGGCCCAGTGCCATTCAGCAGAGCAAGAACATATGTCTGTTGGGTTCCACTGCTCAGACTGCAAGGACAAAGATTGTAGAAAACAAAAAACTTTCCATCCTCCCACACCATTCTGTGACTTTGGACATTCATTGCAGACAGAACTGAGAGAGTCTGGTTCTACCAGATCAATCAACACAACCTCACCTCCCCTATGCTGATCAATAGTTACACGTTTGGTTCTTGGAGGCAACATGTGTGCTGAATCCAGCACCAAACAGTACCTGCCGGTAAAGAAAGGATCTGCTCCTGAACTTCAACTCCCAGAACTCCAGTCCCCTACAGAAAGGAACAAAAAAAGCATTTAAAAATCACACTTCAAATGGCTCTTCTACCCCCCAGAGAAGCATAAATCACAGGTGAATGTGAGTACAATGAATGAGAAGCTGCACAGCCCCCAATTAACCTGAACCAGCACCACGAGCCTTTGCACACCAGACTGCTCATTTGCTACTCGGCTGCAGACAGTTTCTGGGGTGAAACAATCCCTGCCTGTTTGTATGTAGTAGTTTTATGGGGCTTGATCTTCTGCCTCACGTCCAAGTTAAAATCCATCTAAGTAAAGGGGGAAGGGCAGCATAAAACAAGGTGCAACTTAGCAATCTGCTAAGGAGCTCCTGCTTTGAGGAATGCAGTCTGATGCCTCCTGGAGAAAGGAAGAACCAACCCAACCATAGAAAAACAACTCTACCATTTCATTTGGAGCTGGTTTGAGTGTCACGTGGTCCTAACAGGCTTTGCAGGCTGAATTTCAACACTCAGCAATGCCTACTGTGACATCCACATGCTACTGGAAAGGGCAGGACAAGCAAGCCAGGAGCTTGGGGAATCCAGCTGCAGCATCAGAACACAAGCAATGGCAGACAAAGAAGCATTCCAGGCTAAGAGTGAGCAGGAAACAGCAGGTGAATATTTGGGGATGGAGGGATGCTGCAATGCAAAAAGACATTTGTCCCCCTCACCAAATCTCTTCATATAGATCCCATTTTCCAGAAAGTTCTATGGTAGCAACCAATATTCCTTATCAGAACGCTGCTGAGGCTCACTTCAACTTCACTCTGCTAAATCCATACAAGTTGCTTTCATTTCTGAGTCTTTGCTGATGTTCCATGACCAGCTCTCACACTAAACCCCAACGCAACCCCCTTCTCAGGAACAGTCCTGCAGGAGGGAACCTGTATGCTCATTTCCTCCCCACAAATACAAACAGAAATCTGCTATGCACATCAGATAGACATAAAATAAACTCACTAACAGCTTACAAGTGTTCCTTACATCCCATAGCATTCCTACAGCAAAGAAAGACAAAGCTTACCTTGCATAACCCAGAAAAGCAGGTATTTTGATGCAAACCCTCTCCTCTCCTGCCTTGCAATGAGCCCAGTAACTGGGCTCAAAGGGCTGTGGAGATTTCCATCAGGTGTGAGAAAAGCCCAGCCGCCAGATGTTTGTCTGGGGTTCAGATGGACAGGCTGGGATTGCTGGAAACACCTGAGTATGGAGAAGGGGCTGCCCAGTCCCTGGGAGAGGCCATAAAAGGAAGGTGAAGCTGGGACAACCTGACTCACAGGCCCACATGGGGCATCAGGGCAAACAGTCATTGCAGGGAGCAGCTACAAGCTATTTTCTCCTAGGATTTACAGATAAATTACTGCTTTTAGCCCACCCTGTCACGCCTGTTGGCATATGCAAAGGCAGCTCCTGCCCCCAGATTCCTCTTTATGTCAGGGAATGACAGTGTCTCTATCACTTACCTACACTCTGCTCTCCCCCGGCTCGAGGCACATGGCACACAGGCATGTGCATTGCTACACACGTGCAAACACCCAACACATCAAGGTGACAACTCAGCTCAGCTTTGAGCAATGCACAAGAGACAGTTTACAGCAACAAACCCCCTCTCATCAAACTGCATGCACCTTCTTTAGCCAGGATTCTCCTGCTCAGTTGTCTTGACAAGATATATCAAGCTACAAAAGATGGGGGGGACATACTTAGGAAAAACATCTTGTAGACTCTGAAAAAGAACAAGATATTGTCTTAAAAGAAGGAAACTTTGTTTTTCTTGACAATCTTGCAGATAATTTTGCTTACCAGCAAAAAAAATCCAGCTGTCTTTTTCCACTTGGCAGCAGAAGCCAGCACCTTGCAATGAATAATACATACTCTGCTCAAACACAGGTGACAGAGCAGTAACTCCCTAGGAAGAAGCGATGGGGCTGAGCCTCTGAACACATCCTGAGCATTCAAAAGCATTTTGTATGGATGGGGCACTAACTCCACTTCCACTGTTGCTGCGCAACTGAGTTTGATGGAAGGAATCTTTTTAACAGTTAGCCTTTTAAGCAGACAAGTGGTCAATTCAGAAAATTGGATTAAGTTCAGAAAGAAAGGAAAGAACAAGGAAGAAAAGCTGCATTATTGGACTAAGAGACCATAATTCTACGGATTCTGCCCTTCAAAATGGAAAATAAACCTCCTTAGATTAGGCTAGAAAAACAATAAATCTCTATTTGTAAGTTTTCAATGCTACCCCAGCCCTTTCATTGCAGTAACAGATCATTCTGCTACTGCAGTGAAGAAATACAGATGCACTTGAGGCGTATTTGCTGTCGTCTTTGCAGAATGGGCAAACAAACACCCAGCTCCATGACTGGATCTGTTCCCATAGAGAGAGGTTTACACATTAAAAGTAATTAGGACACTGTAATTAAAAACCCCCAAAACCACCTCTCCTGTCACAAGGGCCAATCCTACAACTTTCGTTCTCTAGAGCAGAAAATCACAGTTGTGGTTATAACTAAGAGAGCTAAATGCCATTTTAATGCATTGCAGCCAGGCTTCTCACAGCCATCCCCTTCAGCCTAAACATACATTAAATCAATTAATATTGACACATTATAAAAATGACTCACTATAAAACACAAGTTTGGCTCCATGTGTCACCAAAAGCAAAAAGATTCCATCAGCAGCTTGATGCTTTGGATCCAGATTTTAGGCTTGCTCTCCCTCTCTCATGAGCTGTTTTTGGCCTCATGTGGGATGGGTATATGCAGCAAGTTATGCAAAGGATGGCAATTTCCCTTTTTTACATGAAAATCAAAGGGATAAAGGAGCAGATCCATATTATGCCTCAGAGATCAGTCAACTGATAATAGTTGGATAGGTCTGGATTTGAAGGAAACCTGGTCCATACACACTCGCAGGTGATCTCAACAAGACCATTGATGGTTATTTTCAGCTCAAGACTCTGCCACTTACAACACTTCTCATCATAAAGAACAAGTTAGTCTTGAGGATAAAGCATTTCATTGTTACTTGTGTCCCTAAACTAACCACACTTGATGGAGGGAGCCCAAGCTCTCCATTCAGCAACAGCAACCCAATAATAAACAGGAGGAATGCAGCCACAGGACAACACCCACTTCTCTCTCCAACCTTCCTTATCCCACAGGGACAGTGTTTCTTAGCTGAAGAAGGTGGCAAACAAACACTTACATCTGGCACTAAATGCCACATCCTTGTGCTGTAGCACTGAAGTGCTGTACCCAACTGGGTGGCTCTTTGTAACGTGGCTGTGTATTGACAGGCACTAGCACTGAGCAGGAAAAGCAGCAATCAGGGAGGACAGGAAGAACTGAAAGACCAGGGTTACTCAGAACATAGAGATGTGTGTTTTCCCAGCTCCCTTTCAGCTTTTATCTTACACTGCTGATGGTAAAATAAACCCTTCTAAGACATGGGAAAAGAAACAGTGGGCTATTTGCAAGCTGCAGTGAGGCTCTGTTGAAGTTTGGAGCATGGCACTTGTTGTTACAGACAGCTCAGTATTCAAATGTAATGGAGGGTTGTGGGGGAAAACTACAAAGAAAAGGGTATTCTCCTAATCAGAAAGCAGGAAAATGTGGTTTGGAGACAGACAAGAGCAAGGTTTAGCTTTCAAGCTGAAACACAACAGCTGTATCTGTGAGAGAAACCAGCATGAATGCAAAAGCCATGATCAGATGATAAATACCCATGATCTTTCTGGGAAAAAAAAACTTGATTTACTGCTAGAGAGAGAATCCATCCAGCCACTTCATTTCAATACTTGCAAGACCTGGTCCTGAAGGAACCCGACACTCCACAATCTTTGTTTATGTAATGACTGAGGCATATTGGACTTTCCTTCATCAGCATCCCCTGGGAAGACAGTAGGAGTTACTGGTGTGAATCGAGTGGATCTGCATAGCTCCAGCAGTGACTTAGGTGTTGGGTGGGTGTTTTCCATCTATTTGCAGCCCGTAGGCAAAGCTAGGACAGAAGCAGGGGAAGAAAAATCCCATCCCCTGGAAGAGCTGGTCTTTAGCAACCAAAATGAGTGTAAATGCTGCAAGTACCTCATAGGAATTGCTGTGTCAGATTCCATACACCAGTTTATAACATCCTGCCTTTCAATGTACAAACAACTGGACTAATTTTCCCTGCCCTGATTCCTGCTCATCTTTTTCCCTGAGGATGTCATGGAGGAGAGGGAAAGAAATGTCCTTTCCAAGCTGTCACTAGGCACAACCCTGCTGACACCACCACAGGGCTGGCAAGCAAATGTACAGCAAACAGGAGGTCAGTTCCACAAGCAGTGCTGGAAAGCACCTTTTGAGACAGTAAGAGCAGTAGCTGAGCAGAGCAGCTCCTCAGCTTAGTATCTCAGCTCTCACCTGTGTTCATAGTGGTGGGACAGGAAACCAGAAGAGGGCTGGATGTCCACTTGGAAGATGGTTCTGACTGGACTCTGAAAAGGCGTTTCGGAGTTAAGCGAGCGAAAGGTGCTGAAGTCGTGGGTTCCCACCAGGAACTGAGCTGCCTCCTGCATGGCAGGAACATTCAGGTAACTGAAATGAAAAGCAAAAGGAAAGGAGCATCAGGTGGGACTGGTACATTATGTGGGTCAAAGTCCAATTTAGTTGATGAGAGACTTCAACCTGGCACACAGATGTAACATGGCAGCACTGTGGAAACACATTTTGCGAGATGGAGTTTGTCTTCTAATGGCCCAAACCACAAACCAAGATGCCAAGTGACCTGAGGTTTGGAGGTATTCCAAACCCCAGGCTAGATGAGGGGTTGGCAGGCACATGCTTCTACCCAAACTGTTACCCTGCTGTGCTTCTTCTAACAGTTCAGTTCAAATAACTCTATTGCTGGCTGGAGTGGAGGGCAAGAGAAACAAAATCCTTTGCAGTATCTCGATCTTATAAAGTGAGGATGATGTTGCCAGGTAAGAAAATACCAAACACTATGGTGGCTTTCCAAACCTTAGATTTGCAACAGCCAGAAGATGAAGTTAGGAAGCAACAGAAATGGAATGAGTGAACTGTCAGAGATGAAGTCAGACTAAACCAGAGGCGGAGATGCAGAAGAAAAGGCTAAGGGTAAAACTCAGAATGTCAAGTGTCATTCAGATTTCTTCATCTGAAGCATCTAGGTCTGTTCAAAATAGCCTCAAGCAAAGGAATAGAGACAGATTTCCTGACACGTTTGCTGAACAGATGCTTATTTTCCTTGGTTTTTGTAAACTTCTAAGAAAAGCCTGGGCAAATATGCATGATCCATGGCTTCAGTTTCCCAGATCTTAACAGAAGTCAAAGTGTTTCTGAAGAAAACCAAAATTCAAGATTACATTTACCAACATCATTCATTTTTCACTGTGTTCAAGAAAAATGACCAGCACTTACAGAATCCTGGTCACATGGAGCAGCACTGATGACACCCAGTCGGCAACTCAGACACCCACAGCGGTTTAATGCGTATTATGTGTTTCATACACCAGACACACACACACACACTGAGTTTCTCCACTACTAGCAGTTCCAATGCTCCATCTTTTAGTAAGACACCTCCCATTCAGCATTGCTAATAGGCTCACTTGATCCTTTATGTGGTATTGCCATTAACTGCAGTGTCTGGACAAAATTTCATGCCATTTCATAAAGATTAATGGGCCTGAGATTAAGGTCTATTGTGCACATAAATATGAAATTGCAAAATTAGCTGTTATTTTTCCCTTCCACAGCCCACAGAAAGGAAAGTCAGCAATTTAATGTTAGTACAATGTCAACTTCATCCCTCTAAGACAGTTGAGATTACATTTTTCCCCTATTACCCACAATTGTTATTCCAATAGTGGTGATGAAATTGCCACAACTGGCTGCAAACCTGTTTTTCTACAATGTTGTGGAGAACTCCACTTTCTTGACTGTATCTTTATCTCAGCACAACATAAACTAAAAAGACAATAACAAATTATCTTCTGGGCTTTGTTTGGTTTCTTTCCTCACCCACTGTTTAACATGTCCTAGGTTGTTTGTTTTTTCTTTCTAAATGGCACTGAATTTGTTTTTCTTCCCTTGCATATACAAGTACTATTCTGTTATGACTCAGTGGCTACTCCAAGAACACAAGTGAACACTGAGCCAGATACACCGGTTTGTTATTGTAGGGTTGCTTGGAGTCATTGGTCTCACTACTCAAACATACAAGCAGTCAGACAGGGAATAAGAGAGCAGATTTACACACAGTCAACTACCAGAAATAAGATTGGGAAAGAAAAAAGGTTAAAAAGAAGAATTCTCAGCCTTCACTCTTGCCTGCCTCTATGGTCACACCTAAACTCTGAGATCTGCCAGGCAATGCATTTCTGCCTGTCTGCATCATGTCAGAGCACTGCTCCTCTGGCCAGCTGTCTGAATGGGTTTGCTGTATGAACTGGCAAGGTCATCTGAGGAAATGCTCATCATTTCCATTAGGGAGGGACACACAAAGTTGTTGATGGACTTTACCTGGAGCCACTGAGTATTTCAGCAGTGCTAAGCATGTTTATCACAGGTAAAACCACACAATTCAAAAGAACTGTAAGGCTCCGTGAACACAACTCAGTGCAGTTGCACCCAGTTCGACAGAGAAATCTTGGCAATATGAACAGAGAATATTGGTCTCCTGTGGAAATTACCCATTCCCACTTCCCCCCAAAGCCAAGCCCTTCCAGAGTGTTGACGCAGCTCCCCAGGGATGTTTAATGGGATACACTTACCCTCCCCTAGGAGCCCAGCAGAGATCCCTTTCAAACACTGGTATTTCAGAATGCTGAGAGCAGCCCATCAACAGCCGATAGATGTAGGTTCTTGACAGCGCGGAGAAGCGCGCATGGAAGCTGCTGGACACCCGGTAGGCATTCAGAATGCTGTGAAGACAGAAGACACAGTGAGGTGGAGAGAAATGTCATGCACTAGTTCAAAAGCTTTTGCCTGGTCACCACATAAATGGGAACTTAAACATGCAATGGATTCTTTGAGAAACTGCACTTAACATTCATTAAATCTCACTCTGCTCACAGCCCACCAGTGACCAAGGATTTGCATCTCTAGGCTGCCACAGGCATCTGTCAACTGGAAGAAGACAGAAGAGCCATAGCATCGCCCCTGTCATCAAATACACACCGATTCTGGGTCATCTATCAACACATTTTGGGGATGCTTACACCATCACAAGAAGCTAAAACCCTTCAGCTCAGCCCTTCAGCTGAGAAATGGCAATTGATGGAGTGCGTTCCTTGATGCACAGTGAGACTAAACACCTCACCCACCCCATCAAATCATACTGTGGATCTGGCTGAGGGCACGTGTGTTCCCAGCAATGTTTAAGGCAAGATGTAGCAACTTCCCAAAGCAAGCTGCCCCCCTCCAGCTGAGGAGCACACCCTACAAACACTGTGCCCTTCTGCTGCTGCAGTCCCAAACACGAGTGGGAAGGATTCCCCCACCAACCGATACCTCTGTGCCTGCTCTCAAAGGTTACACAGCTCATTGTAGCAGAAGGAGATAGCTTAAACTAAGTCACTTCCCTCTCACATCCCCCCACAACCTCCAAGACAAAGAGGACTTCTGCTGCAGCAATGAAAATAAAGGTGCATCCCACCATCACCTACATTGAGTCTGTCTGGAAACAGAACGCTGCATGCAGGAGACCCCCTCACGCCTCATGTGTGCAGAAAATGGCTTTTGGGAATGTTCATGTCTATTTATCTTCCACTGACTCTGGACAGCCAGCTCAAGCAGCAGCTTTATAGGCAGCTGATCTCCCCCCTTTTTTTCTACCAGCAACAGGGAGAAATTGCCTTGTTTCTCTAGGCCAGCACCACCATTAAACACAGACAGCTTGGTAGCCAGAAGGGAAGGAATGAAAGCCGTCAGAGAGGAAAACACCTTTCTCTCCAGCAAGGGAGAAAACAGAGCTTCCCTGTGGTTCCTGCTCCTGCCCCAAAGTGTTATCATTGATTTGAGCATATCAGCACAGTTGTTACAGGATTTGATTTTCCCTTATCCCAGAGCACTGGCCCCTCACCACACTGCAGGGAACATACAGCAAGGAGTCCCTATTACACAGACAACATCTCTCTGAAGGGGTTACTTTAGAGGATACATTTTCTTAGAAGGTATTTTTCTCCTGCTGTGTGCCTTTCTGTCTCTGGGGTTTGGCATAGTGAGGAGAAAGGACCCAGGGCAGCTAAAACATACAATACCATTTGGGACCAAGCAATAGAAAAGCCTATTTATTTACTTGAAAAAGGTTGGTGCTCCAGGCATTTTTGCCAGCTCAAGTGCCTCTGGCTCACATCCTTTGACTGCAAAGGCTCAGACCACAGCAGAAGAAATTAAAGCTGCGCCACAAAGATTTGCAATAACGAGCCCTGGAGATTGCTCCACTGCTATAAACTCTCAGTAGAAATACAAACTACATCCTCCAGGCCTGCGACGGAGTTTGAACCGAGGACCTCCAGCTTCTTCTAAACACAGGAATATAATAATCACATTTATTTTCCCTTGTTTACATGCCTCCACAAGCATTTCATCTATCTTGAGCTTCTCTTATGAACATTCATGTGATTTTTATTCAGTTACCGTCCTTTTACTCCCTCTGATAAGAGCGATTCTTTCAGAAAAGCCTGGTTTTGCTCACATGATCTTCCACACAGGCACCTTTCCTGCCTCTGCCAGCAGATGCAGTTGCCACCAGAAGCCCTTTCTAGCTAAGAATGTCTTTCCAGCATTTATTCCAGCTGCTGCATTTCAGGCCTTGTAAAAATCCCATTATTTGAAAGCCTGCTGGTAAATACAGACTCATGGCATTCTTTACCTTTTCAAAGGGACCTGAATTTCAGAGGAGGTTGAAGGAAGAAAAAGCCCAAAGACATCTAACTAGCAATGGCAATTTATTGGATACAAAGACGTCCTCCAGAAGTACATCCTACAGAAGCTACATGGCAATTTGCAGACAGTGGGAGGAATCCCAGCTCTGTCTTCTTGTCTCTCAAACAGCATTTACTGTGTGCTTACAAAACTGACACCAGAAATAGAAGGTGTGAGTCTACTGTATTACCACCCTTTCTTAAGGGGCCAAGTCCTCCTGAAGTTACCTCATCCATGAAATACACTGATCTTTGTAGACAAGATCCTTTCAAATACGCTTTGCAAATCTAAAAGACAGATCAGGTGATAGAAGAAACCCATCATGCTACAAAAGGTTATTATTGCTGCTGATACAGTCAGCCAGCTTGGAATCTTCTTTCCCTTCCAAGCTCTATTGTCAAGAACGTGTTCTCACAAAGATCACTCTCTCCATCACCCCCTGCTTGCAACCACATGAAAGTGCTGAGTTTTCTCTTCAGCATTAGGAGAGAATTCTTCTTGGCAAAGTCATATTTACAGAGGGAGGGGATGGTTGCTGAACACACTCAGACTCATGCCCATCACCAAGCTCTTTAACGGAAAGCAGCTGAACCATTTTCAGACCAAGGGAGGAAGGAGAAGTAGAGCTTAGTGCATCCTGAGAAACCCAAACTAACTGATCAGGACTGGACCGCATTTGATCAGAAGGTATCACCCCTGACAGGTACCTGTCAGGTCTTAGTGTGAGACAAAAATCTCCCATCTGTAAGATCCCACTGCTGCCTCCTTTCAGAGATGCTCTCTAACTTGAAACCTTCTTCAGCAGCAGTCCTGTTTGCTCTTAGACTAATCAAAGCATTACAAAGCTCACTATAACTATGTATCTACAGGACTACTAGTATTGGAAGTGGCAGGGTCACAACAGTAGGTTTTGTTCTCTAGGACAGCTTATGCCATTAAAGTCAGACAACACAACTCACAAGTTCCAAGCCTAAACTCAGGGAAGAGACACTGAGATTCAGTGACTGGTGACACACAGAACAGACTGATTATTACAGTGGTATCCCTCCGGCTGTAAAATCACCAAGTTTTGCCTCCCAAACAACTGCTTTAGTCCTTTAAGGACGGAAATCAAAACTATGACCTACTTCATGCTCCCTGTTACAGCTAAAACATCCAGAAAGGGTTTGACTTCCATTGATTCTGACCTAGTTATCAGGCTGAGCAAAAAATAACAACTAAAACCCTGCACAAGTCAAATTCTATTTCAGAATCTTTTCTTTTTCATTTAATTGACACAGCAGACTGGAAAGAAATCACCTCCAGCCCCTCAGCAGCTGCATTAGACTCTTCACACATATGTCAGAGAAGGTGAAAGCTATAGAGGGACATAACTCTCAGATGTTAAGCACGTGACTTAGCTATCTTGAGAGAAGGATTTGCTTTGTGTTCTGGCTTCTCAGCACACACGAATCTAGCTGTTACTTTAAGAGGCAAATGGAGGAACTGGATTTGTAAGTGCAAATCTGTCAATCCTCTATTATCATGCTAATATTCAATCTCAGGTTCGGGATGCATGATCTGACTTGTTACTGGATGGCTGTCCATGGGCTGTGGAGTAAAAGCAGTCAAATCGGTATTTGCTTTGGTTTCAGGTACCCACTTGTGAAAACTTTGCTTTCAGGGAGACTTCACCAACTCTGCAAACTGCTAAAACACATTTTTGCAAATAAGGTTTGGGGGAGAGCAATTTCCCTTACACATTTCTGGGGACTGACAGGGATGCATTTCTAATGGCAGCCACACTCTGTAAGAAGCCCAAGCAGCAATAACAGTCACCTCACACTGCCTTAAGGTTGAGCTCACCTACTCCAAGACATCACAAGAGGGTCTGATGGAGGGACAGTAACAGTGAAGCCAACGTGGACAGTCAGAAGACTGTTAGAACAAAGTGGTGTGGCCTTATACTGTTCCCAAAACTGTCTGAGGGCTTTTAAAGGAACTGTAAACATCTGGGGAAAAGGTCAGTTGAAACATAATGAACAGGCACTAACAGGAACTGTGTGCCTCTAGTAATAAGGCTCTCACAGTGCCTTCCAGCTCTCTTTTCTGAGCTCAGATTCCAAGGATTTTACTTCCTCTTCCCCTTCACCCTCTGATGGCTCCCTTGGTACTTGTTTGGAGGTGAAAGAATGCAGCTAGCTCCGAGACAGCAGCTGCAGCTTCTGCTCCAGTCACTGACTGGGATGAGAGACTGCAGATAAAAGGTCCCACTGTATTTCACAGTCTGGTTTGGGTTGGAAAGGACCTTAAGATCATCCAGTTTCAACCCCCTGCCATGGGCAGGGACACCTCACCCTCGACCACGTCACTCAAGGCTCTGTCCAACCTGACTTTGAACACTGCCAGGGATGTGGCATTTACCACTTCTCTGGGCACCCTGTGCCAGCACCTCAGCACCCTACAGCAGGTTTGAAGGTTTACAACATGCCTTGAAAAGGTCAAAGCATGTGACTGAATTGCAGAGCAGCACCTTCTGCAGAGCATGCCATGGCTCCAACCCACCCAGACTAGCTCGCTCTTTAGACAGCATGTGGAACATGCAGGACAGACCTCCTGGGAAAAAAGTAACACCATCATTCACCTCTCCCTCCTTCAGACCCCAAACTATTTGAGCACCTGCACATTAAGAGCTGGATTCACCATTCCCTGAGCCTTGGAGAACTAGAATCCTCCCTTGCAACACCAAGAACAGATGTAACTACAATGTCAGTCCTCAAATACCAGGCCTTGCTATGTCAGCATTTGTGTCAGGCCCTGTTTCACAAAGAGATTAGAAAGTAAAGCAGACTAGGTGAAGCATGAAGGGGGGAGTGTACTTCATAGTAATTTTGCTAATTCTTACAACAACCCTGCACTGGGATGGGCTTTTTGGTCCTGGGCCCTTGCTCTGGCATGGGGAATTTCCCTCCATAATCCTCCTTTACGTGCCTGCCACCAGACATCAGAAAGACTGAAGTCTGGCACCTTGCAAGACAGTTCTTCTGCTCACCTAAATACCTCCTGTAGATTATCCACCTTCTTGCACAACACTCTGAAATGCTTTGACACACTCTTCCATAGAGTACCTCTCAGAGATTCACATCCTACTGGACCAAATCCTGTACAGACAAGGACAATCTCTGCCATCAAGAGTTTAGTGTATGCAAATAAGACAAAGCAATAGAAGGAGATATAGGACCACAGCAAAACAGCTGCTGGCAAATGGCATGTTGATTCTATGATACAGCACAGATTTGGCTTTTAGTGCAAAACCCCCAATGTTTCATTCAATTTACCCCTTTTAACCATAAAAATGCACCCATGTCTAGGGAAGAACACAGAAACTGTTTGACAGCTGACAAAGAAAGTGCACAACAGCTTGGGAAGAAAAGAACATGAAATTCAATCCACCTTCTGAAAAATTCACAGGGTGTAGAAATTACTCATCTAATTGATGCAAATTCCAAACAGAAACTGTTGGTTTAATGATCATTTTTTTTCTTCATTTGGGGGTGGGTATTTAGGCTTTGCTCTCATGCAGAATAAGCTCACTGTGACATTCTTCAAGAAGTAATAACTAACAAGAAGAAAGAGGAAACAGGGAGAAGGAATGGCTGTTCCGCTCTCTATAGATTGTTGTATCAACATTCATATGCAACACTTCCTAGTCATTAACAGTTGGGTGTAGTATGAAAAGGGCTTTATCCCATTGAATAAAACATCAAATCTTGCTACAAAAATATTCAACTGGAGCTTTTAATGTAACTTTTCTAAACCATGTCAAGCAGTAGCCTTGGTCTAGCAGGGAAAAAAAGGGAGCTGAAGACATGGGGAGGGAGGAGCAGACTGCCAACACTAACAGCAGTTTTGTTTGCTTGTTCTTCATCTTTTTGCATAGATACAGGTGAGAAGCAATACTGCAGCCAGGTTTCTGCTAAGTGCTAATTCAATAAACAAAGGAAATTAGGGAGTTTGGGGAATAAAGCAGCACTGAAAGTTAAATACAAGTGTTCCAGCTCATGCGGGAAAGTAGAGTCATCCCAGTGGATTCAATACTTACATGGTGACCACAGTCTCTCACAACTACTCTTGTTTTAGGGGTACCAGCATAGATGGTCTAACAACAGGGGTCTGGTGGTAGCAGAAATACACATGTGCAAGGGAGTGGTTTGGCAACACATATAACAGGGGAAAATATATCCTGTGGGTGAAGAATGAAGATCCTTGCATTTCCTCCTTTCTCCAACAAGAAGAAAAGATTCTGACTTGCTGCCAACTTACCAGATTGGCTCGGGCTTCAGGTGGCGATTAAGACCATAGACAAGCTGTTTCTCCTCAAAAGCTGGCTTCCCTGGAGCCCTCTGGATGTCAAGGTGAGCAGAGTTGCAGAGTGCATGGACACCAGTATCTGTGCGGCTGGAGATGTGGAACTTGACAGGAGCAACAGGCTTCAGGTTCTGCACTGCCTTCTGGAAGCCAAGATGAGATGGGATTCATGAAGAGATGACTTGCTTCTAGCTAGCTAGGAAAAAACATCCTCCTCTTTGCTAACCATATGTCTCCTTATTACTCACACGAAGTAATTGGGAGTTTTACCGTGGGCTGCGAAGAAAGGGATGGAGAGCTGCCTGTTTGGGGGACTTCTAGCACCAGTGGCTTCTCACCTTTTGTCCTCAAATCACCTCAGACAGAACATGCAAAATGCCACATGAACTTCCTTACATGTACTAAGTAAAAAAATTAAGCTTCCCATCCTTACTTTATATCTTTGAGTGAGTGGGAAAGAGGACAGAGAATTGCCCATTTAAACCCAGACACCATGACTGCAATTTACTGCTAAGAACTGGACTCAGACTGCAAAACCCAAGCCTTAAAAGGATGGAAACAGCATGCAGGGATGTCTGAATGACATCAGCCAAGACACCTGAAGGAGCTCAGGCTGTATCCTTCACGTCCAGTGCAGGCCAGAACAGTGTCAAGTACTGCAGCAGGCAAAAGTTCCTTTCCATCCACAATGGGAGCAGGGCTACAGAGAGCAACATGCTTCCATTAACTGTTGAGAGCAGAGGAAGAGCCAGGGGACCAGATGAGTAGTAGCACAGCACTGATGTAATGCATTTATTAGTCCCACTGAGAAATATAAACAGATCTAAGAATCAAGACACAGCTCATAAAACACGAGTAGTTGAGGAGCTGACACTGAGCTATCCCAGCAGGTACAAAGAACCACAGGACAGACACAAGCCACTGGCAGTCACAAGGTGGGATTTCCTTATATTTGCTGCTTCTGCAGTTGCATTAATGCAAGACTCTGCTAATTCTTGGGAGTACTATTTTCCTCAGGATCTAGAGTTGTCTTAATATTCAGGTGATGCCTCACTCATGCTAAGACCTCTGCCACAGCAAGACTAAAGCAGAAAACAAGCAACATTATTTACACCATCACGCAATTAAAGTTTTACAGTCATAGAGTTCAAGCTTATTGGAGCCAAAAGGCCCTAAAATTACACTGCAGCTGAGTTGTACTTTAAAACTTAGTTAGCAAACTGTACTGCAACAAGCTGAAACTTACTATTCTTAAGGCAAGGGGAAGAACAGCCACTGAGATTCTCTAGGTTCTGCATATGGATTTTGGCATGGATTTGCTGGAGAGCCCACCTGTGGCTTGGCCTGTTGTTTCCCTTTCCCAGTTGTTCCTGGCCACACAGCTGGCTTTTATCTCCCCACCCTGTTTCTGCCTTTCCATTCTGCCCACTAACAAAGGACTGGGAAAACAACTGGGTGAATTACTACACATTC